ACTTATTGCGAAATAATTGTTATAAATCAGAATATTGTGTTACTTAATTAATAATCATTATGGCGTAATATTAGCTGATGTTCATGGAAAATCGCACAGACACAGTAGTTTCGTATTCCTTTCAAACTTCGTAGGCGTAAGCACGTAAGAACTTTTCACAGACAGTAAAGTGAGAAATGAGTCGAGAAATTAAAAAAAAATTTTTTTATGAAACAACATGATACATAATATTGTATGTACTTACTAGAGAGAGACTCAAGGGAACCATGGTAACAGGGAAAGAAACGAGTGTAAAACGATATAATAAGCATTAAAGGGTGAAAATAATGCATACCTTGAGATAACAATATGCTAGGTGAACCACTTTCTCTGAGTTGAAAGTAGATCATAATGTGCACTATAGCCATCAATCATGATTACATAACCTGAAGTAATGAAAAATGTTCAAGGACTGACCCGCGACAACTATACGGTATTAACTATAAATATCGATGTACTACTCATTGCTTTGGCTAATAACCATTGAAAACAATCATACTGCATGCTGTAGATGTTCTTTTTATATCCGTATAGGCCTAGGCCTAGCTAATTTTCTTTAAATGAGTTAGCGAAATGCGTTCAGAAATCAAAGAACAATTAGATGACCCTCTCTTAGGTCCAGTATTATGATGAATCTGTCTTAAAAAGTAGAGGACTCATAGTTTGACACGACTTTATTATTTTTGATCAATCGGTTTTAAAGGTACTGTAAACCTTTTGCAGCCAACATCAAATTCTGTAGAACTTGGCAGGAATTATAAATATGTCACGTATGTCCTATCTGTGAAATTTAAAAGTTAGTATATAGAATTATTAAGTGACTGACTGGCATCTTTTTTTTCTTTGGTAGTAATATACATAAATTGAGCTGTAAAGGATCGGTAAAGGACACATGAGCATTTGTTTACATCAATAACCCGATTCTTGTAATGGCCCTAATTAAACTTTTTGAATCTTTGCGCAGCACAAAACGTGCGATCATTTGGTACAAGGGTCTGAAAATCAGACTATTTAATAAAAGACCTGCAATCCTTAAAGTCGTTATTTTCCCACAAAAAGACACTGTCAAGCCCTTGAAGTGTTCTTTCATTTCATTTTTTTTTTTTGTGTGTGTGTAGGGTGGGGTGTGCACTGGCGTACTGGTGGGGGGTAGGGAGCACTATAATTCCTTTTTTTTTTTGGGGGGGGGAGTCGTCGAAAATTTGAAAAATCGTACCCCTTGAGCTTCGGGGGCTCCGCCCCTTAACCCCCGCCGGGGCTTTGCCCCTAGACCCCTCTTTGAAAAACGTTCAGCAGGGCCTGCATGTAAGAGTAGGGGTGATACGGATATTTTTGTCAGCCCCCCCCCCCCCCCAAAAAAAAAAAAAAAGTTTTTGCTCATTACGCCACTGGTTGGTTGTATTTTCTGTTGTTCTTTGACACCTCTTCTAGTATGTCAGTCAGATAGGAGCGTCGAATCTGCCTGGGATAGAGCTGTTGCATTTGTCCCATATTATAATATATTTTGTGGACGAAGTATGGGACCGTAATGCGAGTGATGCATCCCTGACAGTTAAAGGGATAGTTGAGTTCTTGTTTTAGACAGTTAATGTCTTCAAAGTGCATGGTTATTGCACTTATTCTTATTTATGACATTTCTAGTGTCCTTTTAGGACCAAAACTTGCTATGAAGATGATTTTAGACCCCAAAATGTGTGAAATTTAGCCAATTATACCAATTCAGCTGTACTTTCAGAAAAATATGGTGACCGTTAATTAATTAATTAGTTAATAATAACAATACATGGGCCAGCTGGTTGTGCGTGTTATAACGAACACAAAAAAGCCAACAAAAATCCAACACCGGCATTGGCTGGAATAAAACGTAAATGGTGCTATTTCGTTTTTCAACGGCTTTTTCAAATTATCTAATTTGTGGTGGTACACAAATATTAGAAATGCTTATATTTATGGATATTTCAGCCGTCTCTGAACCGATTTTGATCACACAAAGATGATTTTGTCATTTAAATTGTATGTTCTTTACAATTTGAGACTCAGTTTTTCATTTTCTCACAAAAAATTATTTTGTGTAGCGCCCTCTGCAACAGAACTCAACTATCCCTTAAGTCTAGAAGGTAAACAGGTTTCCTTGTATAATTTGAATACTAGGATATTGCTCATGTTTAAATTTCACAGATAGGACATACATGACATATTCATAATTCCTGCGAAGTTCTACAAAATTTGATTTATTATAATTATGATGGATACGCAATTCATGGTATTACCACATGTATATCATGTTGACAATTGAGGCGAGCCCTCCGGGCACGACATAATATTAGTTTACTATGTTCATATTTGTTGTAGTGTTGTAGTTATGCAGTGTTTTGTAGAGTTGTACAGTGGCTGCTTTTTACGGCATGTAAATATACAATTAACATTTGTTTTCCAACCCTTGATCGGTCTTCACATTATTATACATGTACTTCCGATCAGGCAATTAAGCACTATTATCCCCTATAAATTAGGTTTCACGGGTGAAATACCCTGGAAATACCCTCAACCCCAAAATACAATTATTTTTACTTAGCACTCTCGCATTGTCACCTTTACTTTCGGTTCATAATGTTCTATATGCTCTTGCCACAGGCAGTATCACGACCCACTTCCTGGTAAGAAATGCAGTACAGATGACACGATTCTTTATGATCCACCCACACGTTTGTCGCAATGTCCTCGTGACACTGACTCATTCATGCAAACTCAAACTCATGTATTTCTAAGCGATAGGAAAGAGAATATTTTCTAAAACGAAAGAATCTCTTTGTTAATTTTGTTCCACCCACTCACGTTTTTCCAAAGTGTTCTTGACACCGACTGATCCGTTTCACTCAAAGCATTCGAATCGACTTTCACAGTATTACTGTCTCATATTCACCTCACTTCAAAGTTCAAACACAATTTCATATAGGGATAGTACAAATTTGCGCAAGTCCACATGCTATTGCTAAGGCAACCAAAATGTAGATGGGCATTGGGCAAGCGAATTGACCATGCTCAGTTGTATAAGTGATGTAAAAATCTAAGCAGATAATATTATATTGAAATGGACTTGAGCTTGTTTGTAAGCACCTTATACACAATCATTTGCCATTTACATGTATAAAATAACAAGATGGAAGCAATATTGTTTTATATCTCATTAAATGCTTGATAATTTATTTCACATGGGTTTAAATGAACAATATATGTTTACATCACTGCTTGGACAATGAAACACACTGTTAACAAGGGAAAACAAAATTAATGAAACAAATTTCCCTCCATCATAATTAAATTAAATTTCTTGGTCTTCCATACAACAGTGAAAATGGGTTGAGTTCCAGATGAGTTAACCCAAATTGGATTTCTTTTCTCTCATAACATTATGCAAAGATAATGCAGTAAAGGAAAAAAACAAACATTATAAAGTTCCTATAACAGACAATATAATTTACAGGAATATGCAATGTAACCTCAACAAAGCCCCCCCCCCCCCCCCCCCATATCTTGGCAAGTAGATCAAAGGTGACATTAAGGTTATAAGGGCAAGTCCAACCTGATATTAAAGGTAATACAAAGTTTTGGTTTGGGGTCATGAAATTGGTTCAAATGAACATATTGGAAGCATATGTGATTTCACAATATTCAATGATCGTTGTCGCGGTTGAAATGGGGTCTAAAGTGATAGAAATATAAATAATAAAGTCTTTACGTTGTATAGTGCCCTCTCAAGACTGATATTACTCTAGGTTTAAAACAATGTTTTTTTACTACAATACCGGTAGACCGATTTGCTATTCCCATTTGGAAATTATATATAAAAACCGCATATTCTGAGATTTTCATGGTCGCAGCTACCATGGAATGGCCATACAGTAGGTACAATTTGAAATATTTTAAATTTACCGGGAGCACCAGTAAAATTTTATTATATTTTGAAAATTTCTTGAAAAGCACAATCGTTTTAGGGGCTAAATTTTCTAGTGCTTATAATACATCCACAGGGGCATCAAAATATATCAACATTTTAAAGAATTACTATCCATCCAATATTCAAAATTTCCCAAAACTTTGCATGACTTTTAAGTTGGGTTTAATAAATGCAAACAAATGAGAGAAAAAATTGGTGAAAGTTTGAGCAATATCCTATTGAAAATAGAAAAGTTATGAAAATTTAAAAAAATGTTTAAACTAAATATCAGGGTGGACTTCCCCTTTAATACCACAAAAAAGAAGGATATACATTTACATTTTTACAATTTATGTAGTTATAATCTGCTATGAAAATGACAGGCCAGGCCCTTAAATGCAAGTAAAACAATAAATATTCACTATCACTTACATTGTACATTACATGTATGTGTGCTCAAAATTCAATGGGTATATGTATGTACTAGTTTGTATATTAAAGGGAACTTTAACCCACGGTGTCAATGTGACCTAAGTCGAAGCTGGTTTTATGAACTATACATGTACATGTATGTACTTATCTGTAGTTTCTGTACTAAATGTACTCGCACAATATTTTTCTCAATATCTATTTTAGTCTGTTACTGGAACAAAAATGTGTTTAAGGGCATGAAAATTGGGCATCTTATTAAAGAAAAAAAATTCTTATCCTTATCTCAAATTAGATCCATTTGTCATAAAAGCTGGGTTACACAGTCGGACATGTGCAAACATGTACATGTACTGATACTTTTGTTTCTCATAGAAATGCAGAGCTATGCACCTGCTTGTCATTAGATTCACTTCTTGCATTGATGCAAGTACAAAAGAAAGGCCCATGGGTTTGGATTACAATAGAAGAGCTCTTACAGTTGAATAAACCATAATACCAATAAAAGTAGTGGTAGGTCACCTTCAGGAAAGTTGTTTTCTCTAACTCTTCACAATAGACATTGAGTTGGGGATTACCTTTTAAGTTTTTTTTTTTTTTTTTTCACTTATTGTTCTTTGGCACCATGCCAAACTAAATGTTTTGCATGCACAAACAAAATAAATTTCCAGTTTTGTAAGTAAATCAGTTAAAAAAGGATGTTGAAATGAATAACCTTCTGTTGCCTCTCTTCACTGTACATAAATATGTATGTACAGGTACATGTACTGCTATTTTAAAGATTTCTTTTTTAAAATGTATTTCATAGCGAAAGGGGTACCAGTATTGGGGTGTACATGTACATGTATATTATCACTCAATGTAATCTGTGAAAGACCAAATGTACATGTAGGACACCACAGATAGCAGATGAAAAAAATGGCCAGATAATAATACCCAAAACACAGACCTACAGTACATGTACATGTACCGGTACACTGTTCATTTAATCAGGAAGTGATAGCCAATGACATGTACAATGTAATTTGAAAGACTACTGCCCTAGAATATTGTACATGTTTGCTAGCAAAATGTACATGTGTAAATTCATGTAAATTCCTCACTTTTCTATCCATAATATTTAGCCTACATGTACAGTAACAACTAATAAATATATTGAATCAACAGAACACACACATTATACAACCTGTTATTGAGCAAGATGTACAAATTGCTATCAATTGCCAATATAATCTGTGCTTTCTGCTTTGATTAAACTACAGCTGCAATGAAGTTCAAAGAACCCTGTAGATTTGTGCTTACTGGATTACAAATCCGCATAATTGTCCACATTTATAAGCCTCTGAAGTTAGCCTCAGAACATACTGTATAATGGAAATGCTGTCAATTTATGTTACATTCAACAAAACATTTGTAAATTCTAAAATATGCTAGAGACGTATTCACTCATCAAAACAGATTTGTAACGCATCTACATGTAGCATTCGTGCGGACAATACATGTATACATGTACCAGTACATCAATGTACAATGTGTAGCTCCCAAAATATGACTGTTATGCAGTTTCAGAATATGATTACTGTAAAATAAAGTTATTTGAAGGGCCGTAAATCAAATGATAAAATAATGTGTGACATACTTTTGGCAGAACATGAACGTTGTAAATTCAATGCCGATAAATGGGCACACTGATGTTGAAGGACTTTCATTTCTTTGAAAACAATATATCAATAGCATAACACGTAGCTTCATTTAATAACACACTAAAATAAAAGTTGCACCACTCTTTGCAAGTTTGCATACAACAGTTAAAATCTCTTTCTATCAGAGAACATGATTTTAAGACAAATGATGTCACACAGAAAAGGGAAGAATGCGTTACATTTGCACAAATATAAGTACACTGTGTAACAAAGAAAACAAAACAGTAGATCGCAGTCTTAATCAAGAAATAAATAATTCATAGATCTTTACTTGAAAATGTATGGCAAGGCTGAGGTAAAGAGTTCAAGCAAAATATGTGTGAATGACAATGTACCTCTTTTGCGTGGGTATCACTTATTTGAACACTATCAGGAACTCCATAAGTAAATGAAAGTACTCTAATGAATCACCTTGTTTCTGCTTTTGAATCACTGAAACTTTATTAACTCTATGCCCCCCCCCCATGAAAAATACGAACATTGTCACATTTTACACCCATTTTACTGATGTGAATCATCTGGATAAACATATTAAATACAAAACAATCTGGGAGGAAAGGTAGCTTTGTTTTGCCTGAAATATACCTCTACTCTAGCATGTAAAAACAACCATCAAACAGACAAACACTGATAAAATTGTACAGCACTTTGGAAGGAAAATAAATCAGTTTTCTACATAGACACATTATTGCACAATCTAAATAACTTGAACTGATGTGATTTTGGAATGCACACACAGAAAGCTCTAATTCTGTTACAAGAAAATCATCTCTTGCAAAATATGAAAAACTAAAACGGACACATGTACACACAGAAAGAAATTCCGGCAACTGCGGATGAACTAGAGGAATGTACTAACTACTTAGGAGAAAAAAAGTGGCATACATGTACATATCAATCGGAGTATGCAACGCACTGGTTTGACTGAAAATACTAAAGAGTTGACTTAAGCATATGTATCAACTTCTTATTAGCTATCAAACATTTACAAAAATATTTTGTTCTCTCCTTTCTACAATTCAAGGCATTCTCCTTTAAAAAAATGTGTGGACCTTTTCGATCAAAAATACATGTTCAAATCTTTTTCTGATAATCTACAAAATTTAATATCGACATCTGATCACACAAATGACACAATATATAAGTTAGAATCCAAATAAGAGTGAATGCAATGGCATTCTTTTGTTTCCATCAAAAAACTGTACAAGATTGCTAGTATAGACAATTCAAACTATAGCTACTGTAACTTCACTAAGCAAGTTTGCCTAGTCCACTAGTGTACAACAAATTTTGTGTATACCATCTACACAATAAATGTACAAATAAGGAATAACTCGCTGTCAAATCAGTAACACATCATGTTACAGTTACACATTCACTCTGATTCTGGTGTTAATGAACAAAGCTTATTCTTTTCATTTACAGCGTTGAACCAAAGGATTACTAATATCAATCAATTACATACAGAAAGCATTGGATCCTACAACATACCTCCGATGGAAAATGTCAAAGTTACGGCTCTTTCAATCTTTTCTAAACACATGTTAAATGTGGCAATCTTTGTAATACTGATTCAGAGTTCTTCTACATACATACATTACACACCTACAATGTATATGATATACATTTACCTGCTTGCTTGTTCTAGCAAACATTCATAGGTCTGTCCCAGAAGATTTTCTTCCTTTCTTCAATGTCTAACCGACACGAAGGGCATGAGGAAACCATGCCTGCGCAGTTGCTACACAGGAGAAAATGGCCACAGGGTAAAAGTACTGTATCCATGTGGGATGCCATGCAGACTTTACATGTCACAGCGTCTCGAAACATCTGAAGTTCCTGTTCCAGCTGATTAGTGCCTTCTTGCCTATTGTGTGCTTGGGAGGACAAGTCGGCATCTGCAGACTGTGTCGAGATGCCCATCCTGAAAAGTTTCCTTCTTGCTTCATCATGGACCTCCTGTTGTGTTCTGCGCAAATCAAAAGAATACTTCTTCCCCAAGTCTGTATTGATGTTGAAGAAGGAGACAATACTCCCACGAAAGTCTCGAACAAACTGGTCCTTGACTGGTTCGCTGACGGTCTCACTTGTGAAGAATTCAACTTTCTCTGTGATGGAGCGGTAAAGCCCTTCAGCAATCTCCTTGGTGTGAAGAGTAAGTTCCATCTTGTCTGTTGTAAAGTTATGTCCATCGTCAAGCTCATAGTGCATCTGGCAATCTCTCTTCTCAACTGACAACCGCTTCACAGATGAAAGAGGAATCCTGCATGAGAAAATTAGACATTTGATAATTCATTTCAGAAAACAACAAGACTTCCTATTCAACAAGCATTTTCTGGGTGAAGTCAAACATGTTAAACCACATTTTTTATTTGTAAGCAACTCCACAATATGTCATGTGTATGTTATGTGAAAACTTAAGTGATTCCTGATAAACAGTTCATTAAAATTATGATCATTAATTAAATATCTGACCTACGATTCATTCTTTTAATTAAATTTTATGTTGATTGTTATCGTATAATTGAGTTAAATGGAGGCACGCTACAAGAGTCCTATCTCGCATCCCGGGGCAACGTGTCTGACACGGCCGGTTGTAGCAACTACTCCGAAGATCAAGATACTGATCTTGATCTAAGGTGACATGAACGAACGAACAGAGAGTAATTATTTGTCACCATTTCAATTCTTATTCATAAAGTCCTCTTGAATCTAATATAATGCTATTTATTATTAGCAACAGTGACAACTTCCATACTTACTTCACACAATCCTGCGTCTCAATATTAGTAACAAGAATTCCATGTGCCCCGACACCCACTTCACATAATTGGCCGGAGCAGGTCTTAGCAGTGAAGGTATTTAATCCGTAAGAATCCATTTCACAGATTTCCCTGAGCAAAGAGAGAAGTGCGTGTTCCACCTTCATGCTACGTAGACGGGCATATTCTGCTTGGGCCGTAACCTTAAATTCCTCAGAGTCTGCAAACTGGGGAAAGTACCCGGCCAGCAGCTCCACATCATTGCTAGCGCCAAAGTCACCCTTTTCAGCCTGGGTGAAGAGAGCAGCAAGACGGGCAGCATCTTTGAGGGCTGCCTTTATCTTCTCTTCTTTTACCAGGAGTTTGGCATCATGAAAGAACAGATGCCTGCAGAGGAAAGAAGGAATAATCAAAATGTTAACATTTGTTCCCTCTTTACTTCAAGCTTGGTTAAATGTACATGTGAAAAAAGAATACCCTGATACATGTATCATACATGTACATGTACAGGCACATGTCATAAATACATGACTTTTTTCTATTTTTTTCTTCAAAGGATTACTTCATTTATTATAATTATATTTACAAATTGAATTGGATGCATGGTATTCATCTACAGTTCTATATAATACAACCTTTGTTTTAGTTCAGTGGAATTTGTTTTCATGTCCTTGGTTACAACAAGACACTTTTCATGCATCGTAAAACATTATCAAATTTTAGTTGTAACACGTTTGATTTGAATTACATCCAGTGCTATCAATTTAGGGCTCTGCAGTTCTCTACACTTGCAAGGCACCATATACAGTACATGTACATTATCTCAAACATTTAAACTACAAAGCTAAGATGATCACCTGGTGATATCTTGCTGTAGGATGTGTGGTTCAACATGGAATTTCACCCTCAGGTCCAGGCGGATAGGTTGTGAGAATCCAATGGGAAGTTGTGAGGTGATGGTGTTTCGAAGGTTCAGCCAGTGCCTCTCTCCTTTCTTTGCTGTGAACTGCAAGCCAAAGTAATCCCCTTCGACCAAGTTCAGCTTCAAGCATGTCTATAAATACAACAATAGAACATAAATATTGGTCTATGAACATTATGAAAATAACTGAATTCTTTTGACTGTTGATCACATAGCACAAGGAGTAATAAATACATGTATACACACTGGACATGATGGTATTGACAGACGAATAAATCATTCTGTTCTTTTCTTTAGCCTATGGTTAATACAGATACAGCACAATGCACGTATGCCGGTAGTTAAAAGCTTTACAACTAAGAACCCCCCCCCCCAAAAAAAAAGACCCTTAAACGCATCACACAGTCAATCTGGTACGTGCAACCGATGTATTATAGCCTACCGGTAGGCCTAATTTTCAAAATTAAATGCATCAAAAACAGATGTGATTCCGGTAAAATTTAGTATTTTGGGCAACGTTCAACATTTGCACAGAACACCTAATGGTCGGTTTCTGTCTCTAAAGAGAGGAGCCGAACTTATGAAATGATTATCGACCTTATCAAGATTACAAATAAATGTCATTTGTCGAACAATTTTGGTAGAAAATGTATACTGGCTGATCATAGAAAGATACGGAAATCAAGGAAAGTAGGCCTGACACCATCACACTATTTGTGTAGTCCGATATACATCTTTCTGTGTACAGTGCACAGTGCTTGTTACTTTACTAAGACTTGGCCAAATTTATTATGATTTTGATGACTCCAGAACCTTGCAGTACACACCAATACTTGCATGCTACATGTACATGTTCAACTTTTTCTGATCCATTCCACACCTTTTCTTTCACAATGCAATCGCATGACCAAAACTCAACTTCGTCGTTAAAATGACTCGGTAACATCGTTGAAGGTTGATGAAAAAATTTGTTTAATTTTTGTATAAAATGCTACTAATTATATTCCTTCTACTGTACTACATGTAACCCTCTGACATGCAAAAAATCCTGAAAACATTATTAAACCAAGAAGATATCTATATTTTTCTTTGAAGGCATCACTATGCAACACCCTCTAATAGTGATTACCGGATTTCTCCCAACCATTTTTGAATTTTTCCAACCATTTTTTCCATGAAAAAAAGACATAAAACAGTGTATGCATGTGCTATGTATATGTATGTATATATATTTATATGTATGTACATGTGTGCGTATATATGGATATATATCTATAAAAAAAAGTTTAAGCTCACTTCCTTATTTTGTATTCATTATGTATCATGACTATATTGTTTATCTTATGAATTGTTTTGTATATTATCTTTGTAAACACATTTTATATTATGTATTGTATCATTTTGAACGCAGAAATAAAAGCAAACAAACAAACAATAAAACAGGCTATAAAATATCTGGAATGGTATGTAGAGCCAATTTATTGCTTTGTGACTATTAACATTCACCTAAAATTTAATTAAATTGTAATAATATAGTTTAGAGAATTAAGGAATTGATCAGATCAGTTTTTCCCAACTTGTATCATTAATAATGGTCCGTTTTCACTCAAATTTTCAGATTATCTTTAATTGTACATCTAGCATCGAAGTCACTACCTTAGCACCCCTATCTCTCATCTGAACAATGTTACCAAGTACCTTTAAAGACTTAAAATCGACATAGTTTGGATGTTTCTTCAAGATTTCCTTGTAGATCTTGACAGCATTCTCCATGTTGTATTGGGCTTCATGGAGACGGACGAGTCCCTTAAAAGCATGACATGTCAGTGTGTTATGTAATATTACGTATTGGCATTGCCACTGCACTTAAGTTAAGTAGGCCCTTTCTCACTTAAACTTGTAACCGCTCGAGCAGATCGGCCAATGGGAGTGCGTTATTTGCCGTTTTCTAAATGTATGGTGGTGTGCCCAAAGTTCGCGCGTGACCTAAGTTCGCTATCTCAAAAAATCAGTAAGATTTCAAAAATCTGATATCACCAATGGAAAGAGGAACGTAAAATTACTCAGAAACAAAATTTTCTTTAGAATTGGGTATGAAATTGTGAAAATATTCACAAAAGATCATCAAATGATGCACTCTTTTATATGCATTCCGAAAAATTATCAATTTACCGATAAGTAGTGCTGTAGCCGAACCGCCGAACGAATGGAAGTTCGCCGAACATGGCACTTCCGAACCGAACGAACCGAACCGAGCGCAAAGGCCTGGTTCGGATGTTCGGCAAAAAAATGTAAACGTTTTTGCAAGCTAATAAACTTGTCATTTTGTACCTAAATTTCATGTCATGATTGCTCATTTTATAATTACTTTTTTTCCCATTTTCCGCCTTTGTGATTTATGCCTATTCAGTGGTGGGTGCGACTTCACTGGCGCAATTTACGGTTCCAAATCCTGACCACGCTACGTCCCGATCGCAAGACATAAACAAGAATACATGTGCGTGATCGAAACAAATTCAGCTTAAACCCATTTAACAAAAAATTAATATTTTAATTGTAACAATATCAGACAAATTTTACAATATAAATAATGAAATAAATATATATTATAGTATGGTATTTATTTATTAAGGAAAAATAGGGATATTGTATTTTTCTGATTGAAAATAAAAAATTATAAAAAACAGTTATTGACAAGCCTGAATCTCTATTCAAGATGGCAGATTTCATGACTCTAACATTAGACGACAACCGTCTCGGAAAATCTTTAAAAAATATCATTTATTGACAAATTGAAAACCTGATTCTTTTTAAAATTGAAAATAAAACACGATTCAAGACGGAAATACATATGTAAGTAGTATTTTTCTTCACAAATAATTACGTTTATAGCAGTTTTTTAATGTGAAATTCGTGCTGGTCGGAAGCAGTATGCAGACGTCCTCGGTGCTGGTCGGGCCCGGTAGGCCGGCCGGCCCGCCCAGTGCCGACCGCCGTGGCTATAACGCTGCTTGCTATTATATTACTGAACCCCGAACCAAACCAAGTTCGGGTGAAAAATTGCCGAACTCTGCCGAACCGAACCGAACACGAACATAGCGTCTGACTTACAGCACTACCGATAAGGGTCTGGAAATCATCATTTTGAGACCAGACACCCTCAAAATTGTAAGTAATAAGTGGTACCGACTGATTGTATGATATCTTGCCTGGCAAATTATTAATTTACCTTATTTTTGATGGATCACATTTTTGTATAAATCAGCTGTAAACCCCAGTGCGTGAAGTTAGGTCTTGTTGTTTTTAAGACTTTGTTTTGATGCAGCGCACACGGACGATCAGACATCAAATTTCTAGATTGAGATAACTCTGAAATCCTCTGAAGATAAATTTTCTAGTTAAACCAATTTGTAGTAAAAAACTTTGCCGTCCATTCGGTAATAACCTAATTGAAATAAATAAATTTGTGTAGAATATGAGAAATCATAGATCGATTATCACATTTTGTATTATGTTCTAAAATGTCCGCGAACTTTGGTCACCCCTTCATACAGCGCTCAAAGTCGACGCGTAAAGTTCTACATACTGTACGTGCTGTAGAGGTCTAGGCCTATTCACTTCCAAATTTGTGCGAGGCAGTAAAAGGGAGCAGACAGAAAGACAAAATATCAGACTAGTTGGAAGATCTTATTCTTAACAATGACGCTCTCCTTCAAGGCCGAGGGTGATTCTGTGAAGCCAAACATTCATGTACTGGAACTAAAAAATGTAGACTAGATCTAGAGTGTAGATCTAGTCTCATCGGAAGACAAGGATCCCCGAACAAAACCGACCGATTCTTCACTCTGATGAGTCTCTGTCTGACCTGTCTGTCTCTGACAGTTTTTTCATCTGTTCACGTTGTTCCTTTTTCACACATGTGCAGATGTGTGTATTGTCAGACACTGTCAATATAAGTTTATAACTTTAATCAACATGATCAATTGTCATAAATGAGTGTCAGAATGACAAAATTTAGATAGACTAGATAGATCTAGGGTAGGGGTCTATAAGTATAACCAACCAACCAACCAACCAACCAAAGCTAGACTCTAGGCTAGGCTAGGCCCTAGATCTAGATCTCGACATGTGTGAGTGACACTAACTATTTATGGACACCTCACTCCACTCTTTATTATATATTACTTGAGTCTAGCTAGTTATTTAGTTCATTCTCTGATTCTCGCACACACACCCAGGCCCAGCCACAGCACAGCACAGTCACATGTCTGATGTGTTTCGTTTGATAACTGTCCCGGAACTGGTAATGTATAATGGAGCCGTGATCATCTTCAATTTTACAGAGAAGACAAAAAACTTACCAAATCTAGACATTCTAGACCAACAGCTTTAGGTCCAACTTCAATTTCGAGCACATTGCCATCCGGTTTCTTGATGAAAATAATCATTTTGAATGCTTTCAGACCAAAAGTTCACTCAGCTCGGCCTCTGTTCCTAGCTGTCGTATTCGCAACTGTACAGCGTATGTGAAAACAGAATTTAGACATGTAGAAGGTGAACTTGTCTCGCGCTCGACGATTAACAGCTGAACGGAGCTCGAAACCGCATCAGACAAAAGCTGGTCATGTGCAAGGCTTCGAGGAGGGACGAAGCGATGCTTATAATTAAATCAAACCTCACACTCTACTGGTTGTTGTTGTTGTTATAACTTACCAAATAATAAAAAAATATATATATTTAAGTACTTCAAAGTCCCATATTTTATTTTCATGAAAGTCATAAGTATATTTTGAATTTATTCCAGTGTCCCTCACCTTTCCACAATGGAATAGGTTCATAGGGAAATCCCGATGGAATCATCACCGACCAATCAAATAGCTAAGGCCCCGATTACAGCTAGCCAATGGTGAACAGAGTCCAATGCAGAGCGTTATAAATATACATGAGACTAGCAAGTGTGTCGCTCGAGCTCTATATTCGTTACGTTTTTCACTATCCCATTGGGCGGCAATGCAATCTTGCAATTTTCTGTCGTTTTTTTTTTCTGCTGCATTTTCCGAAATTTATCGAGGAAAAAACTGTACTTAGGAAGATGAAACTATAGTGATTCTAACAATAACCTTGTCTATAAAGCCTTCGGGGCTGAAATGAAGGGAGTATTTTTCGTACGAAACTCGTAAACAAGATGACCTTCTCGTGTCTTTCACACGCTGGCTTTCTTTCTTTATTGTATGCTAATTGTGAATGACTAATATGGGTTGGATCATTCCAATGATCTGCGGAGGAGGGGTGATTGCTCGAGCTCTGTTGAAAGTTTGTTGACTCTCGATCTCCATTCTGTTGAAAGTTTGTTGACTCTCGATCTCCATTCTGTCGAAAGTTTGTTGACTCTCGATCTCCAGGCAAGGCCTTCGCCGCGCCTTCTCAACAGCTCAATGTTCCGACAATTCTGGGACAAAAAAAGACAATTCATACAATATTTATTTTTAAAGACGTTTGGGGTGCTTATTCAATCCGAAATTATTCGACTAGTAAAATTATTTCAAAAATAACAAAAATAATGAATAATGAATTAATTCGAGACATGATGAATTCAAAGCAAACACAGAAAATACATGTAATAGTTATTCAAGTAGATGACTTAAATACATGCTTAAAAGGTTCACACACGAAATATAAATAATCAATTACCTTAAATAGCCAAACTAAATTTTAAAAATAGAATACAAAAAAGGGAAAAAAAAGAACAAAAAGTAAGGTTGATGTGAGTGGTCATGACACAAGATAGATAATTATAGAACAAACACATCATAAAATACCACCAGCCTGTCAATTCATCATACACATTGAGAACAGGAATATTTATATATATTTAAAAAAATATTTTCAAACCATAATCTTGATAGAATTTAGTATTGTAAAAAGCATTATATATTGTCATCCAATGCTCACTGTCTCCCACGAGATTGGCATAGGTCTTACTGTCATGCCGTATGTCTTTTTCTTTTTTTCCTTTTTATTTGAATAGATAAAAGAGAAAGAAAGGGAAAAAATTGTAAAAAGTATTAAAATAATTTATTCTTATCCCTGCATTATATTCCAGAAGAGACATGCAGTAGTAGCTTAAAATTTGTCATTCCCGGTTGTTGTCATCTTTACTCTTACACTCAATTAGCCTATCTATGTTTCAATATAACTATGAAATTTGTTATCCAATGTTATTTAAAAAAAATTATATCAATAACATTTGAATTATGATATATCTCTAGCCCCCCCCCCCCCCGTCGCCTACGCCTATATGACGACGACTCGGACATTCAGATAGAGGACATCTATATTTATTTTCGGGGGGGGGGGGGGGACTGAGCAGGTTTCCTTATCGTCTTGTCACTAAAGTAAATTTTTTTAAGTTTGACTATCAGTTCAGGACCCCAGCCTGAAGGGGCAAGATTTCCCACAAGGGGGACACATTACGATAGGATTATGTGTGTGTAATGTTATCCTTTTTGTTTTGTAACCACTCGGAGCGGGGGGGGGGGGATATATTAGCTAGATTATGAGGATGTATCTATAATTATTATCAAAGCTGAAAAGCAAATATACTTTAAAAAGACATAATCCAGCACCGTTTGCATAATGCCTTACGGCATTTGACTTATTTGACTTAGAATCTTGAAAATCTAACTTCCTTACTTATGTGGAAAATATATCGTGCAATATTGTATATTTACGAAAAGCTTGAATATGATATGGTACACAACTTAAGTCCACACAACTCCCTCTCTGTCGCCTACTCCCTTTGCCGAGGGTTAGGGACATGATAGATCAGCCCCTTGATGACAACACTGCTACACCCTCCCCCTCGTGTGAAACACACAGAGGCTACGGCATCTATGAACTACTTGGACGAGAATTGTCGGTAATAATACTGCGTGGAGGGTGGGCCGAATGGCCGGACTGATTGGGGAGGGCTAGGGCCCGGGATGATGGGTCACGTACTAATGATAATTCGGGACAAGCTTTTTTTCTTTTTTGTTCAGAAATGTTTTCAATATGTTTTCAATAAATGTTATCTAAAAATATTCGGGGCCACGTGGCTCCCCCTGCCTACGCCTTTCTTATTATCATTTTGTTTATCGCTTATTTCTTTTTTAAAGAATAGTGACCCTCATCCCATATGAATAACGACTCCGACTTTGTATTATGAGTAGCGGCCCTCTTCTCCTATTATGAATACCGACCCAGACCCTCTTCTTCCTTGAATATGAATAGCGGTCCTTATAAATAATGACCCTTTTCTCAAATTATGAAAAGCGGTCCTTATGAATAGCGACATTGGCCCGTGTGTTTATGTGGGGAGCGGGGGGGGGGGGGGGGAGTATCTGCTTTGCAGCTATACCAAAATACTCTGATATGACTGTATGTGTGTATAATATAAGTCCATGCATGCACGGAGTTACTAGTAACTCCATGGTCCATGGTTAGAACATTTAGTGTGGACATATTTATTGGAAAGGTTTTTGAAAAATATTTGTTTAAATTAAAATCAATCCAGCTTGTGAGTTTATTGCAGTTACATCGATTGAATAAATATTTATTTAAGAAAAATCAATATAAAATGTTAAAATGACAATAGTCTACTTTAGAGAAAAAAAAGAACATGCTGTTTTATTCGAAAACATGCATGAACATGTTGGATTTAATAATCAATTTTTCTATTCACATTGAATACTATAAAATATCATATTCTTGCGTGCGGCCTAAGATAGCAGTCGTATACCCTATGGCCCAAATCAGTAGCGTACGCAGGATTTTTTTTCAGGGGGGGGGGGGTTAACATTTTTAAATCGGGCCGAAAATTTCGCAACGACTCAGCCAGCCGCTGAATAAGCGGGGGGGGGGGGGGAGGGTAAGAGGACCTAATATTTAAAAAAAATAATAAACCCAGGGGGGGGGGGGGGTGCTCTAAAATACATACATAAAAAAACTGAAGGTGGGGGGGGGGGGGTAACCCCCAAACCCCCCCCCCCCCATGCGTACGCGCCTGGCCCCAAAAATTTACAAAAGAGGTTTGTCGAGAAACCTATAGGTTTATGTTCGTCAAATGACGCGTTTCGATTCATTTCAGACCAAGGTACAGACAAACCGTGGTCTGAAACAAGCTCGTAGCCAGGATTGGGGGGGGGGGGCGGTAGTGAGCACGCAAAGCGTGCGAATCACTTAAAGAGCGCGCGTAGCGCGCTCCCTATAGGGGGTGGGTGCAAAAGCTTTGAAAAAAGACGATTCGTTGTACCTTTCTCGACTCATAATCCTTGTCTGGATTCAGTCCGCCCCTCCTGCGCAAAGCGCGGAAGCTTTGACGTATTATTAGACAAAGAAGACGATTCGTTATACCTTTCTCGACCCTTAATCCTTATCTGTATTCAGTCCCACTCACGCGCGAAGCGCGGAAGTTTTGACGTTTCATTAATTTATTAAAGAAAGAAGACAATTCGATGTACCGTTCTCGACTCTTGATCCTTATCTGAATTCAGTTTCTTCCCCTCCCTCCTCCTGCGCGAAGCGCGGAAGCTTTGACGTATTATTAGATTATTAGAGAAAGAAGACGATTCGTTGTACCGTTCTCGACTCCTTTCCCTTTTTCTTCCTACGTCCTCTTACTTTTTTTCTTCTCTCTCTCTCGACGATTCGTTGTACCTTTCTCGACTCTTAATCCTTAAATTGAATTTAATTTTCCCCGTTCCGCGCAAAGCGCGGAAGCTTTGACGTTTCATTAAATTATTAGAGAAAGAAGACGATTCGTTGTACCGTTCTCGACTCCTTTCCCTTTTTCTTCCTACGTCCTCTTACTTTTTTTCTTCTCTCTCTCTCTCTCTTTTTGTTTGTTTTTTGGCCTTTTTTTGGGGGGGGGCGGGGCGACCGCCCCTACCGCTCCCACGCGCCTGATCTGAAACGCGTCAAAACGCGTCATATTATGACGCACATAAACCTAGGTTGTCGACAAACTTCCTTCGTGAATTCGGGCCTTCGTGTCCGTTACATTTGAAACACTACGACTAGTTCAAGGAACTAAATATTAATTGGGAGAAGAAAAAAAATTACGTTGCAAAACAATAACACAGGACGTGCTGCACTTTTCAACACCGCGGAACAAAGTGCACGAGCCAGTAATGACTGTTAGAAGGCCAAATGTTTTCACGAGGTTACCACATGTTTGTTATGAATGTAAGCATATCTTATCAATTGTATTTTGTCAAAAGAAATGATAGACACTTTTAAGTCTTACCAAGGACGTGACGTCATGAAGCCTGAGCGACACTTCCGTTTGAATGATAATTATGTAGGACATAATATTGGCGTACGCAGGATTCGCGCCGACCGATATTTTGCTCAGTGAGGGGGGGGGGGGGGGGGGGGGGGGGGGGTAGTTAGCGAACTTCTTTTCTTTTTTTTGCCCCCGTGAAAATCTAAGTGGGGGAGGAGTATTCATTTTTTTTTTCAAAAAAAAATTGAGGGGGGGGGGGGTAACCCCCAAAACACCCCCCCCCTCCCCCTGCGTACGCGCCTGGCCCAAATTCACAAAGGAGGTTTGTCGACAAAACTATAGGTTTATGTGCGTCAACTGACGCGTTTCGATTCGTTTAAGACCAAGGTTCAGACAAACCTTGGTCTGAAACGAGTCAAAACGAGTCATATATTAAGACGCACATAAACCTAGGTTGTCGACAAACTTCCTTTGTGAATTCGGGCCTTCGTGTCCGTTACATGTATTAATTATCATTACATTTGAAACACTACGACTAGTCCAAGGAACTAAATATTAATTGGGAGAAAAAAAACAATTACGTTGCAAAACAATAACACAGGACGTGCTGCACTTTTCAACACCGCGGAACAAAGTGCACGAGCCAGTAATGACTGTTAGAAGGCCAAATGTTTTCACGAGGTATACCACATGTTAATAAAAAATCGCTCCACGCGCTACCACCCCCCACCACCCCCCCCCCCCCCCCCCTCCTCCTCCTCCTCACTGAGCAAAATATCGGTCGGCGCGAATCCTGCGTACGCCAATTATGTCCTACATAATTATCATCCAAAGTGTCTATAATTTCTTTTGACAAAATACAATTGACAAGCATTCATATATGTAGTGAGCGATTTTTTTTTTTTTTTTTGCCCCCGTGAAAATCGCGCCGACCTATATGTCGCTAAGTGGGGGGAGAAGTATTATTTTTTTTTCTTCAAACAAAAATTGAGGGGGGGGGGGGTTAACCCCAAAACATCTCCACCCCCTGCGTACGCGCCTGAGGACATCACCTTTTCATTTTATCCTTTCTTTCTGCTCATGTATAAGTTGAAAACCTTCTTTGTGATTTCGGGCCTTAAAGTTTTTGTGTTTTTTTAAACCCATAAATATTGATACTTGGCCCGTTCGTCCTTCCATGTAACTTAGTAACTGTATCAAAACATTATTGGCGAGGTCAGCCGAAAAGGGAATCATTAAATGGAATTAGAAGAAAGTAGGTAATTGGCTTCTTTAGAAATTACTTTCTGGCTAATTAAAGTGCTTTATGTATTCTCGCCCTTCTCGATCTGTCTCTTTTTCTCTCTCTTTACTTGTTTTAATTTCCTATCAGAAAAAAAAATGTAATGAATAAAAAAAAAAGTATTTTGTTTGTTTAAATGGGATTTATGCATGAAATCATCAAATTGTTCTCATATTCTCACGGTCTTCTGCCCTAGTTTCGAAATCCTGCTAGCGTAATCAATCTACTGCAGGATGGCCAATGCAAAATGAGTATACCAGGGGCGGGGGGGGGGGGGGTACTCAGATACGAATCCGGGTTAACTGACCGTTTTTGCAGCTGGGCCGAGTTGTCTTTGAGCCGAGTTAGCCCGACTCATGCACTGATACAGATGTATGAACGTGACATTTCAATCTGAAAAATGATAAAATAATCTAGTCAACCTCGGTCACTAAACTCACTATAAAAGGCACCAACCTCAAACTCCATTCCACTCTACCCTCGTTCTACTCACAAGCGACTCTTCCTCGTCTCACACAAACACGGATGAAAAACAAAAAGGAACAATTGTTTTCATACACAAAATAAACAAGCCATCAGACCAAATTTTATCAGTACAGACCAAATTGTTGTGCGATAGAAATATTCAATTGAATAGAATGATTAAAATATCTCACTTGAAAGGAACAGACTAAAAGATGAGGTGTATAATGCCTTGCTGAATAAAGTAGATGAAAAACCAGACATGATGTCATCGGTGGGTTGGCTTCGATCAATAATCGAGTTTACCAAGCCACGTCATAATGATCTGGAATTCCCCTCCTGCTATTCAACATGGCATTATGCAGCATAATCTATTAGCCTTAAAAAATAACGTGGTTCAAGTCACACGCATGAATAAACATTATATCAAAATTCATCAGATCATAAAAAATAAATATTTTCTACCCATACCATACAATGCTTCGTGCAGTGATGAACTCCTGGGGATTCTTAGTGAAATACACAGATGACGTCATAACAATCTCCTGCAAATTATAAAAATAGAAATTACTTCATCTACTACGGTACCACCACGTATTGCATTTTGTGCTATTGCGGGGATCCCCACATTCTGTAAAACAGGTTCAAACATGAAAATACATCTATTCATGACAAGGAAAAGTGAAAGACAATCGCCGAAATTCCCCAATATTTGAAAAATAGATTATGATCACATTTAAATGATACAATTAGAAACATTAATTTGAACATGTGTCTAATAAATATATGCCAATAAACATGAAACCAACACAAACTCCCTCTAGTACATTTCTTAGTTTTTTAAAAAACTTTTTTCTCTTTTGTTTTAAGTTAATGTATACAAAAACCGATGAGATATACTTCCTTGAACAAAAAATGAAAATTGCAACCAAAATCTTCATGGACATCATTTCCCAATTGATACTATCACCAATGGCTTTGAGCAATATCTAAATGTCACTGCAAACACAAGTACTCTAACTTGCAACAAGCTTTTTTATGTGAACACCTGAAATATGAATAAAGTTTCCTTGAAATGCTTGCGCAAAGTTACACTTAAAAGGTATATTTTTCATGGAACATAGATCAGGTAATGATATCAACAAAAATTAATATTTTTATCTTTCATTTTTTCCCCAATCAAACCATCATAGTTTTAATAAACTTCTTATTCTTAACACATACTCTGACCGAATATATTTGACATTTTAAGAAAACATTGAAGAGAAGGATAAAAAGAAATTAAAAAATTAAAATTCTAACTTCACTAACTAAAAGGGTAGTTCACTTTTGAGATATGTATTTCCAAAGTGTTTTCACAAGGCCATTGGTCTTATTGGGAAGCCATGCACATGGGTATGAAATGATATTTCAAAAGTAAAAGAAACACCGATTATTGCAGGTGAAAATATGAAAAAGGTATCAAGTGGATTGTTACATGTCTTGAAATACAACTTTCTCTCTTTTACTTTCTAAAAATCAAATCTCTTTCACTTTCTCTTCTTCTATTTTTAAATACCAATAGTTTATTTATGACATAGGTAAGCTTGACAGCTACTCTCAAGGACCTTATTAATTTCTCTTCTTCTCCCCATTTAATTGCTCACTCAAGAACTAACCGAGCACATTAGATATGTCTGAGATTCTTACAACATGAAAGGAGTTGTGTTGGGTATGAAAAAAGTGTCTGGTGCTCAATAATATACTTAACTGAATTATTAATGGACAAATCATCTCTTTGGAGCTCAAAGGGAATTAACTCCACATTGAAATGAATACCCTTCTAGTTCCAAACAGACACATTATTCTGTTCTTTTTCTTATCAGAAACATGTTTATTTTTTTGCAATGAGATTTTTAGAGTGAAACAGTTCTCATTACATGTTTTTTAGCAAATAAGCTTTTGAATTCACACCATTGTGGAATAGCTGCTTTACATATACACATATTAAAATTTCAAGTTTATCATGTACATGCATCACACATAATACAAGGAATATGCAAATAGTGAATGGCATGTACAAGATAAAATTACATATTACAATTTCCATTTGATTTGACACACACTAAGGATAAGCAAAGAGCACGGAAGATACAATTGTATATGGGAGAACCAGGAAGTGAAAAGTGTGAAAATAATATGTGTATATATCAAATGAAGGGATTATTCAGCACTGAAAATTGTTTGTTTTTCTAATTCAATGGTGCATGGCAAGTGAAGTCGAATTCGGACATTGGATCCAATAAAAACAAGGAGAGGAGAAAACCAACAAAGAGTTAAATAGTGCACAGAGACTGGAGATGAAGAAGAATTCAAATATGGTTACCAGTAATAAAATGTAGTATTGTTTCCTTCTTCCTGGACACAATAAATGATCACTCAAAGACAAAATTCTCATTGCTTTTAATAGAAATCTACAAATTGAATTGAAAAATAAAAATATCAATTACAGAAATGAGACAGATATATACAGAGTACATGATTCTTTGGTTCATGTTATAAAGTCTATGTCTTCCTCACTTCATCCCAAGTCAGTGAACATGATATAGCATCACGTTAGAATTCCATTAAAAGCTAGGCCTACGAATGGGTCCTAGGGTTTAATTGAGTCCGCCTCCTTTGATTTTAGAGCGAGCGTACTGCTCCTGTTCATCGGAGAGACCTAGGGACTCGAGCTCAGCCTCAAAATCTGTTAGCTTGCCGAAGCCGCCCATATAGCCGTTGAGGCGGGCTGCTGTGTACGAGGTCACCTCCTCATTGGGCTTGAAGATAAGACTCTGGAACAGGCTGCGATTCTGACGTAGCATGTACTTCTGGTGGTAGCTACAAAGAACAAGAAGATGTGGGTGATTAGTTTTACAAAGGCATAACTGTACTGTGATCCAGGGTTAGCATAAAAGTTTACTTGGAGGATTTGATCTTAATATAAAGCCGAGATATTTAGGAAATGTATATGAATGCTAGTAACTAAGGTAGGTTTGAGGTAGGGATCATATTCATCACAGGATGGGTCCTTTAAACAAAATAATTTATTTTTTACTGCCAACCATCCAAAGGAAAAATTGGGGATCTCAGGGGGTACATACAGTGTACATGTATATAATCTGCCTGCTTTTATACAGACGTTTTCAGAAAACAACTGGAATATAAGGTTTATAACAGACCTGCCAACCTCTGGAGTTCAAAAACTGTATTCTTTAGTCCCAAAAGTTGTATTTTACTGACAAAAGTTGTATTCTTGAAAATAAACACGGATTGTTATGCGGATCAATGCCTCTTACAGTTTCTACCTACAGGAAGAATTTTTTTATTGATCATTGGTTGAATATGCATGATTTCGTCATGACTCAATGAACCAATGAACATCCCCAAATTGCCGATGTGAGATGCTTGTAGGATACTTTACAGGACAGAATGGACATTTTGCAATTGAAAATGGCGGACGCACACACAAAATATTGATTTTTTTTTTTTTTTTTTGAAAATCGTATTTTATTAAAGGTAAAGACCAGTATTGGAAACGCCCCAATTTTAAAAAAAGGAAATGGAAGCTCTCATTACCAATCATGTGAAAGAATATGTTTTGACTAATACATGATGATAAAAAAATTGCCGGGAAACCGCCTACTAATTCATATATTTGGTAAATTTGTTTCTCTCATGGTCTGTGAGAGATAGAGGGTAGTCCCATATACGTCTTTCTGTGTATAGTGCTTGTAACTTTACGAAGAATGGGCCAAATTCTTATCATTTTGATGATTCCAGAACCTTGCAGATGCTAGATGCTAGATGACCAACCTTTTCTGATCGATTCCACAACGTTTCTTTCACAATGCAATCGCATGACCATAACTGGTCTTTACCTTAAAGGAAAATCATACTGTCGTATTTGCTTCTAAAAATCGTACTAAATACAACTAAATCGTACTGGTTGGTAGTCTGTTATAATATTACTTTAAGGGTAAAAATATAAGAATTATTCCTTGCCAAAAGAATGGTTACCAGCTATATATGATCATAACATCATTATCATACAGTAGTACTATAAAGCAAGAGAACTACTCACTCCTCTGCATCATAGAAGGTATCTGCTGGCTTGATCTTGGTCTGGATCTTCCTCTTGACGACCTTCTGATGTTCATCCATGGTGCTCTTGGCAACTTCATGCTGTTTCTCATCATGATAGAAGATTGCTGACATGTACTGGTTCTTGTGGCAGGTTGTGCTGTCATGGTTTGCCCAGAACTTCTGAGCAGCTTCTCGTAGCTGGTCTGGTTCGGTCAAACTCAATCTGCACAGTTTCAGTATGGTCCCCACTAAAAAACAGGAGGTACAAAGAGACTGGCTGATTAAAGTTACAGATTTTAATAAAAGTGAGTAGCAAAAAAAGAGCCTTTTCGTGCTTGTCAAATTCAATCTGCACAGTTTCAGTATCATTGTTAAAAGGGCCCATCTAACCCAACTAACTTGGCCTTTTAAAACATGAATACCGTATTTGCCGGCGTATAGGCCGCAGTATTTTCGGAAGAGAAAATATCAAAAAGTCGGGGTGCGGCCTATGCGGCGAAAGAGTAAAAAAAAAAGTTTTTTTTTTTTTTTTTTTTTTTTTTTTTAGTTTCGATTTATGGCGCTATGCCTGGCAATGTCTCCCAGCTCAGTAATCAGTGTGTTGACTCACCACTCGGAAACTACAACAACACTAAAATTAGACTGTCATCTTGGTTTGAAAGTAATCTTTCTAATAGATCTCAATATGTAGGTTATAATAATAGTTCCTCAAATTTTTTTCTATAACAAATGGTGTACCACAAGGTACACCACTGGTACCATAGGTACTTTATTGTTTTTAATTCACATTAATGATCTTACACATTCTTCTAAAAACGACATTGTTACTATTATTTGTGACAAGTTTACAAGCACAAATCAGCGCCCTTTAACTGCACCTCGATGTTAAAGGAAGGTCTTCCACGCGTGGGTTTTCGGCAGCAAAACAACAACAACAAAACAAAACAAAAATGATTTTTTTTTTTTTTTTTTTTTTAAATGTCAAAATCGGGGGTGCGGCCTATGCGGGGGTGCGGCCTTTACGCCAGCAAATACGGTACACCTCTATTATCAATATTCCAGCCTAAAAATTTTCAGAAAATCTCTATATTGACAAAGAAATAATAATAACCATCCATTTTTCATAGATTTCAGGCTTGCTAAGCTCCACCCCTCGAAAAAAGGTAAATACGGTCACGTGGCTTGATGAGGCATTTGACGTTATTACTGGAATGTCCTTGTATTTGTCGTACAACTAAGGATCTTACAATCTCATTGTAATTCATAATTAGGACTGACGAAATGGCCAGAAACGTTCTGGGATTATCAAGTGCATATCATTTTCCGATAAATGTCTCTTTTTTTAAAAATTACTATCATTGTTTGCCTTTTAAAGACATTTTAATTTTTAGTTAAACTTATGACAGTTTCAGAAAAACGGGCCTCCGAAATCGAACTTAGGTTGTATTTTGTGCCTTCTTATCAAATTTCATTAAAATCCATCATACAATAATAAACAGAGACCAAATTTGTTACTAACGGACGGACAGACAGCAGCCTTACTACATGTACATCTCCTCTGACTTCAGTCTGGGAGGGGATAATAATAAGCATACAGAAAAATAGAGCTCTTTTCCCCTATTGGTGTCATATCAATGTACTGCACATACACACAAATAAAAGTCAAATGAAATAGTCCTAATTCAATACACATCTCTATTGAGCTAGCTATACACAGCAGGAAACAGCAATCAGTGTGGACAACTTTTGGAAAACTACTTGTAGTTTATAATAACATACACTACACCAGAGCTACAAAGTGTCACGTATTATGCGTGACAGTCAGGCATCGAGGGTCTGAAAAAGCAGTCACGCATGGCAATCATTTTTGTCACGCATCAGGGCCAGACTGGGAAAAAAAAGTAGTAGTTGCTAGACTACATACTGGCCGACCGCCTCGAGGCCTCAGCTAGCTCCTCGCAGGGTTCGTGTACGTATATCGCATGCATGCGATATCGAAACGTACACTATACGCTATACCGGTATACCCTCGCCCGCACGCCAAGTCATGAAAATGTCACGCATAGCTGGTCTTTGAACTTGGCATCTCTGCTATACACATTCAAGGTGTACCAGTAACCTTGTTTTTGCAACTGTGCTATGATATTAAATGGCATTACAATATTTCAGAAATTGGGAGGGGGGGGGGGGGCTGCTCAAGTGAAAAAGCCTCCATCTCCAGTTGTTTCCTCATAGTATTTCTCTCCATGTGCACCTAACACATCACTACAACTGTATAGGGAGTTCTGCTGAAGAGAAAAAGCCTCCATCTCTAGTTGTCCATCCATAGTAACTCTCTGTCTCTCTCCACTAGAACGTAGAGAGTTTTGAATTCTCACAGTGCCCCTAAAACTGTTTTCTTGCCTTCAGCTGCCATTTCCCCCTCCTACTTTTAAAATGATGTAGCTGCCACTGACTGTAAGTAGTGTACATGTATAGTCATGACACAGACCATTTGTGATTTTCTGTGGTGCAAGAGCTTTATCATTTCCTGTTTAAAACCACTCCCTGTTGATCTACTACTCTAGTACTTTTAACATTAAAAAAAAAAAAATGTTTATCTTCCAAATTGTGTAGGGCAAGAGAGCTTTAAGAACATAAACAAATTTCAAATCTCTAGATTGTAAAAAGCAAAGCCACAAAAACAGCATGCAAGGTATGTCAGCTGTTGTTTACAAGCTACTGTAATTAAAACAAAATAATACCGGTTATGATGATCCGATATGTTACAGATATACAGAGCAAGTTGATACCAAATATAAAATTTTATGTCAACGGACCTTCTAGAGCATGAATCTGACAAAATATCAGGTAGAATGATAAATAAAATCCAAAGGTTGTTTCTCATTTCATTTTTGCCATGAAATATTTGTTGTAGGGAGACACAGAACTTACATTTACATTGTATTAGCCATATTAATTTCCTACATTACAAAATGATTATAAATTATAAAAGTATTTTGTGGAATTGTGTTCTTCATAGTGCGCATGACCTTGCTCTACAATAGAAAGCACTATAACTGTGCATGAGCCATTATCGTTCATGCTAAAAACCAGCACTGTCATCGGAGCTCTACAAAAGATGATGTACACTCTCTTGCTAAAACAGAAGTATCACTTCCTGTTTCAAGAGTGGCGTGCATCCTGTATCATTGATATTATAATGATTTTGCAAAAAAAAAACGATGGTCTTTAGGAACAAAAGTGAAAAATCCTCAAGAATACAAAAGATGAGAGGGGCAAGTACAAGAATGCCAAGAAAGGAAAGCACAGATCATACTGTACATCAATCTTAAACTGGAATTTACGCTCAATATAAACAGTAGCCTATTACAAAAGCTAATGCTTTTAATAGACAACCCTTTTCTGTATATCATGTCATTATCATACATGTACATCTAAAGTTATAAGATTGATAATGTAAATATGTTGATGTATATAATAATGGATATCAATTCAAATCAAATCAAATCTGAAAAAAAAGGTTGTAGGTGTAGATTTTGTCACATATCAAGGACAACGATAACAATTGGTAAATGAACAAACAGTTCAATAGCCATCTTCCATAGCAATCTACACAACTTTTGAAGTATATTGCATCTCTTATTACCTAGCATACATGTAGGTAGTTTAGGTAGTTAGGTACCCACATAAAGTAGAAAAATCAATAAACATGTCAGTACAACTTGCCAGTTTGTATGATAAGTAAGTAAGACTAAACCTGAAGTAAGACTTAAACAAAAGTAAAATAATTAACCTTTTAAGGATGCTAAAAAATGGTAAAAGATAGGATTGACTGGAAAATCATGATTTTGGTATCAGATCAAATGGAAAAATCGCAAGCTTTCTCCTCGCACTAATATCTTGTAACGTTGAGCGAATGGCAGCCAGCGATAGCCAATCAGAAGGGCCCTTGTAGGCGCCAATTTAGGAAAATGAGGCTGAGACCGGATCAACGTAATGAGAATGCGCTAGAGTTTAAGTTTTACATGGCTAATGAGCTCTCAGCATAAATCTACACAGAAGAGACTGATTTTAAAGCTGAAGTTATCATTTACATTATATGTGGCTTGCTTTTACATGGCAGATCCAGACAGAATTTAGTAAGGGTGGGGGTTCAAATAATTATTGAAAATATATATTCATAAAGACCCTTATGACCCCCCCCCCCCCCCCCCCCCCCCCCCCCCCCCCCCCCCCCCCCCCCCCCCCCCCCCCCCCCCCCCCCCCCCCCCCCCCCGCTGGATTCGCATATGCCTTGATATACTTACAGGCTGTAGTACGTGGGAAACTTCTTTGTTCCACCTGTGTACCCCACCTTGGTGCGGACCACCCCCGGGGCACAGCCAAACTGTGCCTCGGGGAACCAAAATCAGCTCATGGCAAAGGTAGCGGTCTCCAAATCATCCTTTGTGATCTTAGGCTCTTCCCTCGGCATCCTGTTAGATGCGATCTAAAGGGAAAAAGAGGGAACAGAACAAACAGCAAATAAGCTTCAGTCTCTACTTTCAATGGTTGTTCCGCTGAGACTTTGTCTGGCTCCACTGACCTCTTCCATGGGTAAGGTTGACAGATGTCAGTTATATTAAATTTTCCTCCATACTGCAGTTCAGACATCTGGGTATATGATGGGGTGTCCAAAGTTTGCGGACGTTTAATAAATAATTAGGAATACGATATTCGATCCATGATTCTACACAAATTCAATGAAATCGAATGATACCAAATGAACAGTATAAGACTACAAATGGATTAATCATCAAAATTGTTTGTCGGATCGGCCTGCACTTCAACTGAAGAAACTTAACAAAGAGTCAGCGAGACTTTACAATTGATTTATACCCCCCAAAAAGCGATTCAACCAAATTGCAAGTCAGTTTTTACTTCCAATTTCGATGACAAATTCTCTCCAACTTGCATGTACTAGATCTAAGTCTACATGTATATGAAGATTTCTAGACCCATGACTATATGAGTCATGACATGGCGATAAGTTCACCTTTTTTTGGATCGGACGCAAAAGTCTTCAAAATTTGTTGACCTGTTGGCAGTTGTCAATATTTTCATAATTTCACCCCAAATTCCAATGATGGTGAAGCGTAATTATGTCTTCCTCTTTCCATTGGTAAATATTATCAGATTTTTGAAATCTTACCCAAATACCGCTTTTTTAGATAGACCTTCTAGACTAGCTATAGAAGGTCATGCGCGAACTACTGCGCCGGTCACACCCACACCATCAACACAAGTTGAGGGCCCAGGTAGACCCACTCCAGCAAAGCATAGAGTCAATGCTAATAATGTGTATTGACCTCTAGCACTGCATACTTGCTGAGAGGCAGGTATAATACACAAACCACACACTATTGCATAAACTGCACAAAATAGAACCGATGTGGCTGATTAGCAAATTCGACACGAGAGGTCTAAAGCTATAAGAGTCTAGACTTAGACTTTGAATTTTTAAATTATTCTTTTTAACATCAGTAAGTTGAAAAAATTGTATTTTACTGCTATTTAGGTGTCATCAATTGTCACTGGACTAAAGCACCAATTTTTAGAGAAATCAGTTGAGACACAGTGGCGTTTGAAATGTTGAGAATCAATAAAACAGCTTTCAAGTTCAAGTTACCTTCAAGTTCAAGTTCAAAACCACACAAAACATGATATAATCTTTTAGATAAAAAAAGAGACTGGTAATAGTACAATAATCAACATAGACTATATTAACTTGATTACATCATTACATGAATGGTTTTTTAGGACCCCTGTAGAAGCTAAGCTTGTGAGCGGGGCCCTATAGTCAACAAAATACATACATTAACAATATGGCAAGGTGAATAAAAAGAATGTATAATGTTTATACAAGGGATGGAGGGAAAAAAAAAAAGCTACAGGAAATACATGTAGATCTAGAGCACACAAAAATATATTCACACACACACACACAGCAAACACACTGATGAGTAAGTCCTTAGTTAGACAGAAATAACCATCTGATTTGGGTCATTTCTTTAATAAAACTGACATTTGTTGACAATCGGAGGTCTAGTGGAGCCAGACGTAGTCTCAGTGGAACAACCGACGACTAGAGAGACTGAAGTTTTCGGTCTAGTCCTTAGTGGTTTATAAACATTTGAGAATGAGAAATTATTAAGATACAAAGTAGAATTATGTCAGTTTTCCAAGGCCAAGTCGGTACGTTTTATTTAGATAACCTTCTCAACCTAGAAAGAGTTGTACTATTTTTAGTAATGCAGGCAGCTATGTCTGAGTAGACCCTAGTAGGTCTAGACCTAGTAGTAATTTTAGTAGTGGTCAATTCTTCCAGGCTGATTGGGTAAGGAAATATCAATCGACTACGAGGGTAATGGTGCAAACTATCATCGCCGAGGTGATCTCGGAGCAACTATCATATCGAGCCGCAAGGCCCGAGTAAAGGAGGTTAATATTTGTTTTAACTCCCACATCGGCAATAAGGTCTATTTTAAGTGAATTTTACATAATAATAAGAACTGATTCTGCAGACAGTTTAGCTTCAGCTAGATTTTACAAAGCGCAACATGCATATGGCGGTGTGACCAAAGTTCGCGCGTGACCAAAGTTCGCTTTCTCAAAAAATCGGTAAGATTTCGAAAATCTGATATCACCAATGGAAAGAGGGTCTTAAAATTACCTAGAAACGAAATTTTCTTTAGAATTGGTTGCGAAATTGTGAAAATATTGACAAAAGATCGGCAAATTTTGCAGAATTTGCGTCCGTTCCGAAAAAATTATCAACTTACCGATAAGGGTCTGGAAATCTTCATTTTGAGATCAGAAATCCTGAAATTGTAAGTAAAGAGTGGTACGAACTGATTGTACGATATCTTGCCTTGCAAATTATGTTATTACCTTATTTTTGATGGATCACATTTTTTGATAAATCAACTGTAAACCACCGTGCGTGAAGTTAGGTCTCATTGTTTTTATGACTTTTTTAGATGCAGCGCGCGCGCACGATCGGACATCGAATTTTTAGATCGCGATATCTCCGAAATCCTTCGACGGTAATTTTTTCTAGTTAAACCAATCTGTAGTAAAAAACTTTGCCGTCCATTTGGTAATAATTGAAATAAATAAAGTTGTGTAGAATGTGAGAAATCGTAGATCGAATATCACATTTTGTAATATGTTCTAAAATGTCCGCGAACTTTGGTCACCCCTTCATAGACTTCCTACATGTAATACAGTCGATGCGCGCTCATTTGACATCATGACATTGACTTTGACATTTCGCGTAACCTACTTTGCTATGTGTATTCAATGGGCAAGTGTGGGCAAGTGTGGGCAAGTGGGGTAGCAGCAAAAATTACTTTACAAAAGTAGATCTATATTATATCTCAGGTAGATAGTAGTTAGAATCTAGTACTTATCTATAGGCCTAGACCTATTTATTTTACCATGTGACCTCGTTTAGACCAAACAGATTGCAAAACCCTTAGGGCAATCCTATATACTTTAGTGTTTTATTATTTTGGGTTTCAAACTTCAGTTAACAGCTCTAGATCTACGTGCATATCATAGGGTTAGGGTTAGGGTTAGGATTAGGGTAGGGTTAGGATATAGAGGGTAGGATTAGGGGGTTAGGATTAGGGTGGTTAGGGTAGGGTTAGGGTTAGGGTTAGGTTAAGGTTTAGGGTTAGGGTTAAGGTTTAACTGAAGTTAGAAACCCAAAATAATAAAACACACTAAAGTATAGGATAACCAAACCCTAGACATGCTAGACCCTTTAGTATAGATCTAGGCATAGATCTATCAATATAAATCATCTACTGATCTAGATCTAGATCTAGAGTAGGCCCTAGAGTAGTAGAGGTCTAACGTTAGAGAACAACAACAAAACACAAACCTTTCCGCTCACTTGTCCCATGCAAATAATTAGAAAAGTGGTCTACAAATTCACCTTTGCTGCAGAAAACAGTGACCAACTATCGAATTGTGCTCTTGATAACTGAGTAATCCTTCCAATTGCCAATAATGCCATATGTCCGTACTTGATTGTGAACATTAAGTAGGCTAGATCGTCTATGAAAATTTACTATGATGATGTAAGCGATGACAATGCGCGCGCTTCTTGCAGCTATACATGTACGTACGTAGGGCCTAATCGGAATTTGTACTGTACGTACGTACGTGTGTATAGTGAGTCCAGCCCCGCCTATGGCGGGCGGAACATGCCATATTGATGATTATATACCTCATTTTAAGATTCTTTACTAATCCTGTCTTCTGATTGGTTGAAAATGCAGTCATGTTCTTAACCATGCCCGCTAATTGAAATTCATAGTCATTTTTCCCGGCTCTACCGGTTTATATCCATTTTTCATAGCACTTTTTCCATGGCTGTGAAACGTGACGTCATTTTGCTGCGATCCCCATTTTGGTTTACGTGTTACCGTATAAGTTTCTTTTGTGCGATGACCAATGCGCAATACCGTTAACGGTGTTTGAGTGCAATTCGATTTTGGTCGCTGCATTCAGGCGACGAATCTACCAAATCCACGCAGCGCAGACGACCGATCGCCATTTTGTGTACTAGTCTCGATCGCAAAATACTGGGGTTTTTTGTTTCCAATTTTTTGTCAATAAAGAGGCAAAATGGAGGACACAGCTATGCCAAGATTTCAACTTATGGATGGCATTCAGCTGCAAGACTTAATCGATTCTGCTGATAGCAAAAATACGAAGTATGCAGTAAAATACGGCACAGCTTGTTGGTGATATCATCCTGTACAAAAGTTACTGTTCGTGTAAACGTGTTTGGTATTCCCTGTTCTACTGGAGCACAGCTTGTTGGATTTCATACTGTACACAAGTTATTGTTGGTGTTAATTATATTCATGACTTCAAAGAGATGGAAACCTAAATGGGTGAGTCAACATTTTCCTTTTTTTCGGTATATAAAATATATATTGACTGCTTTTAATATTCGAGGCAAAACTCGGGAAACTCACAACCTGCTATAGAAACCACTATGCATCTCAAAGCAGTCAATATATCCTTACAACTATACAACCATACATCCATTCGATGGATGTATGGTTGTATAGTTGTTAACCAATAAGGTTTTAACCAATCAGAACGCAGGAAACTGTACAACTATACAACCATACAACTATACGACTTGTAGTGAATTTATGCTCCATTATAGTGTCAACGAACTTTATGTAATGTTTTGAGATTGCCTTGTTGTGCCGACAACTTTTGAGAAATTTACGCTGATAATTTATGCAGTTTTCCTGCGACGTCGTATGTTTCACATTCTTGACACATTATGGCACCTGCCTTCACATATCACGTCGGGGTCACCAATGTAAAAATTCTATGCTG